GTGATTATGTTGAACAAGAACGATACTAATGATGTAAGACACATTTGCAACATCTGGGTATCTGTATTTGTAGACGTTTCGTCATCCAAATAAAGATGCCCAGGTGTTGCACATGCGTCTAATTCTTCATTTTGTCGGTATTGTCTACCATTTATATAAGAAGTTAAATCAGTGTGGGCGAGGCTTGCTTAGTAGATATAGAATTTCATTGTTTTCAGTCACCTTAATCTTGATCAAAATTATAACATTCCTTGAAAGGTATTCAGTCCCTTAGTCTTGGTTTTTATAGAATTATAAATAAATTGGTGTATATTGGGTTAGGCAAGTGTCACTAGGCCTCTTAAGAGTGCTGCTCTGGATTGTGTGAGGTTCAGGTTAGGCTTGATTCTTCAGGATAGTGTTGTGGTAGTTCATTCTTCCTTTGTGTGGGGTTTGGTTGGGTTCCTAAGGCTCCAGTCTTGTTGAGTGCCTTAGCTTGTATGTTGGTATGGTTGTTCTTGGATGGTGGTAGTGCTTGTGTGATGGTAGTGCATGTATGGTGGTGGTGCATGTATGGTGATGTATGTATGGTGGCGATGTATGTATTGTGGTAATGCATGTATGGTGGTGATGCACGTATGGTGGTGTATGTATGGTGGTGATGCACGTATGGTGGTGTATGTATGGTGGTGATGCATGTATGGTGGTGGTTCTTATATAGTCGTGGTTTCTGTATATTGGTTTGGTCCTCCCTCGACTCTTCGTGTTCATAAGAGAGAGAGTTACTCGCACCTTACGTCTGGTAAACACTGCAACTTTAGTGAGAAAAACTCTGATAATTTGATTCCAAGTTCTTTTGTTTTTGGTGCTTCGAGTGTACAGTTAATTTCCTGTCTACTCAAGTTGTTTTTATATCCAGGGAACGTGAAAGACGGACATCTGGCAATCGTTTAACTTCAGTACAAACGTTAGTTTACGGTTTATTTATGCAAAATATATTATACGAATATGGTTTGTTTACTATATGCGTAGATCGCGTATTCATCTGTGTTGCTGTCTGAGGACCTGAGCGCTCATTTTAAATTATCATGATCGTCATAGATTAAGCTCATGGAAAAATTGGCGTAATTTCTGGTGGTTAGATGTATTGGTATATTACCTATCGTGCCTTAGGGTCCCATTCTATCTCAGTCGGCAGCAACCAGTAATAAAATGTAATTCATAGAGTAGGGACTAAAGTATGTCGTGTTTATATCCTGAGACACACTGGTTGGAATAGGTTGAAATATGCCTTCAGCACACTCAGGTCTTGTTAGTTAGCTGTATTATGCACCCACCCTGTACTCATCCTGTGGACGATAGTCAGAGATTACAGAGGCACATAATAAGTCCACGAGCTGGGTTTCCTCAGCTCGAGTGTGTAAATAGTTTTGTTTCTTTGTGGAGTTATTTTGGTTGTGTATGGTTTGATTTCGTTAAAATATTACAAGCTGTAAGCCAGGACCTTAATATGTCAAACCTCCGTGTCTCATCTCTCATGTTACCCATGTTTATTATATAGAGTACGGTAATAGATTGGTGAACAACAATAATCCAGAGAGGTACTACTGTTCTGATGTGTTAAACGTTTTGCTCTTTGATAGGGTTGTTGGTCTTTTCTTTCTCTTTCATGAACACTAATGATGACAGGTAAATCTTGCAACTTTCTGCTTATATTCCGCATACTCTTAGCTTTCATGTATGTTTCTTAATACGTGTTATTTCTGTAATATTTTGTTTCCAGTTTATGAGGCCTGGTCTGAGACCGGGCAGTGAGGGGCGATGGTCCTAGAAACTGTTAGCATAACTTCAAGGATACCTGGAGTATTACCTGCTTCAGGTGTCTACAAGAGTATAATCATAATATTCCATAACATATGGCGTTAACCAGATTTTAGGTCTTCAGCAGGTGTCTTGGATGTATCACCTTGCCCCCTTTAGAGGTTTTTCCATATGTTGTATTGGTTCTTACCCAGGAGAGCAGAAATACTTTTATTTTGAAGTTGCACACTATTGCTTGTAAATGTAATCGTATGGCGGGTTCCTCGTGGTTGCTTATCCTCTATTATCGTCTTATATACAATTTTATGAGATGATGCATTCTCTGGAAGTATAAATTGACACAGACACCAGTTGTAGAATGAGATTTACAGGGACAATATTTCTCTCTGTGAAGAGCTTCATGACTTAACGGCTAAAGCTTTATGTAGAGTGAAACGTTGTTGTAATAGCGTATTCTGCAGCTTGTTTTCAGCTTTTTGCTCCTTGAAAATCGGGCCCGGAATGTTATGTGCATGACGATGTAATGGATTGGCTTTACATTAAGAAAGTTGATCACGTAAATATGTAGTGAATCTATACTTGAGTGACAGCTCTTCATACCAGACACCAGTAACCACCAAGACTCTCGGTGGTTACTGGTGTCTGGTATGAAGTGTGTGGGGTACCTGGTACGTGCTATGGTAATTACAGATATTGGCTTCACAGCCTTTATGATCACTCGCTTTTGTTTTCCTCTAGTTACCACTTCCACTTATCTCTTTCACCACAAGTTTTTCTCCATCTCTCTGTGTGACTCTCCTCTCCTCCCATTCAGTGTCTGCTCTCGTGTCTCACTGTATTCGCCTCTCGTTCAGTGTTTTCTCTCATCCCCAAGGATTAGCATTTTACACTTGCTATATTATATCTGTCACTTTTCAGACCATGACATTAGTTTGTCCAAATCTTCCAGAAGTTCAGTGATATCCTCTCTGATCTTAGTATCTGCTCTCTCTCTCTCTTTACACAGTGTTTAACAATATTAGGATAAGGGTTCCTAACTTTATTGAGAAGCTAAGAGCTGTTACCTACATCAGCTTACTTGAAAGCCTTTTTATTGTTAGGAGACATACAAATATGGAACAGGATGAAGCTGGGAGCCATCTGTGGGCCAGTATTTTCATTTGATTAACTGACTTTATCTCGTTGATATTATGTCTCGCTCTCTCTCTCTCTCTCTCTCTCTCTCTCTCTCTCTCTCTCTCTCTCTCTCTCTCTCTCTCTCTCTCTCTCTCTCTCTCTCTCTCTCTCTCTCTCTCATTCAGTGTCTCCTCTTTCACACAGTTTCTCTACTCTCTTCTGTCATTCAAGTCTTTTTCTACTCCGTTCCCTCCTCTACAGCTCTGCTGTTCTCTTATTTCCTCTAGAACTTCTCCTCTTCCCTCACTTTACTCTTGATATCCTTGCTTTCCTGGGTCTGCCAGAACCTCATCCTCCTTCATTCTACCCTTCACCGTCTCCCCTTCCTCACCCCTTCCCCCTCCTCACCCCTTCCCCCTCCTCACCCGTTTTCCCTCCTACCCGCCTCCCTGTCTCCCTTTCTCCTCCCTTCCTGCGTCATCCATCTTGTGCGAGCGCTCAGCAGAAACGTTTTTATCCTCTCTTAGAAAACGTTTTTATCCCATGCTCCTGCCCCCTCCCTCCCTCCATCTCTTCCCTACTCCCATTCCACTCCCCGCTCTTTCCCCTCTCCTTCCCCACTCCCATTCTACTCCTTCGTTCCGGAGAATAATGGAGGGCGAGGCGCGGTGTATTTGTTATTTCCCAAATTAGTGGACTAATCACTGGCGTGGAATTATGCCAGGGATGAGGAGCTTATCCCTGGTGGGTGGTGGAGGATACCAGCGAGGCAGCGGGAACCCTGCGTCGTTGATGACACAGAAATACACATGCATACATTTTAAATGTGTGTGTGTGTGTGTGTGTGTGTGTGTGTGTGTGTGTGTGTGTGTGTGTGTGTGTGTGTGTGTGTGTATGTGTGTGTGTGGTTGCAGGGGTCGATTCATAGCTTCTGGCTCCACTTCACTGGTCGCCACTAGGTCCACATTCTCCCTGCTCCATGAGCTTTATCATACCTGTGTGTGTGTGTGTGTGTGTGTGTGTGTGTGTGTGTGTGTGTGTGTGTGTGTGTGCGTGTGTGTGTGTGCGTGTGTGTGCGTGTGTGTGTGTGAATGAGAAGTGGAGTAGCGTGGTGGTGACGTCAAGTACACAAAGGCCAAGTAGGCCTCCTGCGGAACATCTCTAATCCCTAGTTAGGCACATTTTTAGCTGTGATGAAGGTTTTTGTGGCACATGAGGTAATGGCGTCTGTCTTGCATCCGGCTTTAATTATCCGTACCACCAACAGCACAATTATTTCTCAAGAAGGTGTCTGGAAATATCTCTAAGGTTGTTCTATATTATCCAAACAAAATCGGCAACACTATTTCCAACAGACATAGAAAAAAATCCCCACAACACACTAATCCCTCCTCCCTCTCCAACACTTTGTTATCTTAAAGTGGTAGTGGTGTTTGAGAGTTTGTGCCCATGGGTAGGGGGCTTCTTTTCTAGGAGACGTTCGTCTCCTCACAGGGAACTTGCCTGCCTAAGATCCCATCATCTCTCTCAGCATAAATGGTGGAGATATTTTCCCTTTCTTCTACATATGATAACACTGCCAATGCCACTCAAATTATTGTGTATATGGATTGTGTAATATTAAAAATACTTCGATTTTTTTTATTTGCTTTCCGACTATGACTTAACATGAGTGTAAATTGACCCTGGCAGTAGCAGCTTGATAACGATTGTGTAAAGTTGGTAATGCTAGAAATGGCCAGCTCAGCAGTTTTTTCAGCGGCATGTTCTGTAAGCCAACCACCGCATACAGGTGTTGTATTTCATATAATGCTAAACTCGTGGGGGGTCTTTCAAGGAGTGGTTGAAGCTCGATCCTCTGCCATCTGGTTGCGTCTCGATCTCTGATGAGGCAGGATGTTGGCGATCGCACTACAACACTCGAGGAAAAAGTGCAAATCTCTTATACAAAATATCCTGTCAGGGAAAATCATTGAAGCAACTGTATTATTGAAACTACCCACATTCTGACGCTACCCAAATCATGGTGAAGCTACCTGTATCATGTAGCTTTCTGCATCCCGAAGCTACCAACATAATTCAAGCAATCTACATCAGTGAAGCCACCTACATCATTAAAGCTAACCATAGTAATTGAGGCTACCCACACTCAAGCTACCCACATCAGTGAAGCTACCCGCATCATATCAAAACCTAGTCTCACCCCCGACAAGAACAATGGAAGCCGGATGTCATTGCATCATATGCCAGGAAAGACTTGTATCCCAGCACCAAGTTTACCTATGTAGGAATTTAGGGAGCTCAGCAAGAGGCCTTTTAGGCCTACACGCTGCACACACACACACCGATTAAACTGTATTAACCACCCTTAATTGGAAGGGATTTCTGTCTGTTATTGTTAACAACTTTTGCATTTCACTCCCTCAGGTACCTGGTGTTGGTGTGGGAGGAGGAGTGGAACATTCTTAAGGAGCTCTACCCACCTGACCACACAATAACAGCTTCCTTCAGTGATGCTGGCATACTACAGACGGTACCTAGTAAGTCTTCAAGCATTCCAAAGTCTACAGTATGTATCATGGTAATGCAGTGGTTGAGAATGCCGACAGCATGTAAATTAAACACAGGTTGGGCTATGGCATTTGACTGTGAAGACATTTCGTCTGCCTGGGACTTGTGTGGCAGTAAAGACACACCTACTTTATTGTGTACCTTATTTACAGTGCATGTGACATGTTAAATGATGAAACAACGGAACGGGTGGGATTTGAACCCATGTCGAGTGAGACGTAAAACTCCCTTTGCCAAAGTGTTCAAAAATATACCTAGTTGGATGGATCTTATTGTAGCCAGGTGGCCGCGTGGCTTATGCACTGGTCGAGTTATACGACTCATTCGCCATGGGTTCAAACACCACCCGTTACGTGGTTTGGTAGTAATCGTCTTATTACGAGTTCGTAAGTCATGTTGGATGATGTTTTTGATGGGGATTCACATGATATATTGGTAGAGGAACTGCTGCTGCTTCCAGGAGTGTTGTGACACGAGGGCTTCCAGGGTGTGTTGTGACACGAGGGATTCCAGGGTGTGTTGTGACACGAGGGCTTCCAGGGTGTGTTGTGACACGAGGGATTCCAGGTGTGTTGTGACACGAGGGCTTCCAGGGTGTGTTGTGACACGAGGGCTTCCAGGGTGTGTTGTGACACGAGGGCTTCCAGGTGTGTTGTGACACGAGGGCTTCCAGGTGTGTTGTGACACTAGGGCTTCCAGGGTGTGTTGTGACAGGAGGGCTTCCAGGGAGTGTTGTGACACTAAGGCTTCTAGGGAGTGTTGTGACACGAGGGTTTCCGGGGTTTTGTGACACGAGGGCTTCCAGGTGTGTTGTGACGCTAGGGCTTCCAGGGTGTGTTGTGACAGGAGGGCTTCCAGGGAGTGTTGTGACACTAAGGCTTCTAGGGAGTGTTGTGACACGAGGGTTTCCGGGGGTTTTGTGACACGAGGGCTTCCAGGTGTGTTGTGACATGAGGCCTTGTGTGTAGCCGGTACTTTATCTTTGATGATGCTTCGGGTGGAATTATTGCATGATGCGCTAAACCCATGAGGGTCATTCTGAACAAGGTATGGTGGATTTTCGAGTCTCCGTGAATTTATATACATAAAGTTTCTAGTTCGGCATTATATTGACCCTTACTCTTGTGAATAGTCACTTCCCTTTTCCGTTCATTCTCGTCGGTGAAAACTATTCTTGGTAGTCGTCTTGAGTGTCCTTTAATCTAGATAGTTGTTCTCAGTAGATAGTCTCAGTGTGGACCGCTGTCTGTCTAACCCATGTACTCAGGTAAGTGCTGGTCCTTAGACTGGACCACGTCCACCACAACCCTGGTGGACCACCAAGGGCACATTTTGGACATGGCCCAGAAAAAAAACCTCATCTCTGAGTTGCTTGGTGATCAATGGTGGGGGAAGGGCGGGGTGGGCTTGGAGGATGGGAGGCAGTGGGCGCTCACCAACTTGCGACAAACTTGGGGACACTTTTTGTCCACTTTCTCTTCCTCCCCATCACCCACCGTTCTCTCTTTCTCCCCGGGAGAGTGCTGTGCTCTGCGATGCCTCTCTAAATATTAATATAATGTATTAATATTTATCTTCAAGGAGAAATCTCAGTGTTTTCCCTTGAAGCCTCTTTATTTACGTTTCTGAGGCTACGAGTTCCCACACTTATACTAGAGGAGGACTCCATGTAATATTCAATATAAATATTAATATAATGTAAGTAAGTAAGTAATAATAAAAGTTTTATAGGACGTAGTTTTTTTCTGTACATCTGCCAGATGTTGTGTCCTGAAACCACTTATCCTGTTGTCTTTACAATAAATGAAAGAAAAAGTTTCTTTGGCACTTCACAATAATAATAATAATAATAATAATAATAATAATAATAATAATAATAATAATAATATTTATTATTATTATTAATTCACAATAAACTCATCTATTTTTGAGGCTATCGTATGAGAACTCTGTTGTAGGATGATGGAAGTAAGACTGTCAGTGTATAACAGTTGCTTGAATATTCCTTGAAGCCGTGTACAGACCACCTAAACCTAGTCAAGTTATTAATTAATGTCTATGGACTGATAACTGGGAAATTTCAGTAGCAGAAATGGTAATTTGAACTTTCTGTCGGGTGAGCGAGAAGCAAATAGACTAGTTAGCATGATTGACAATTGTTTGCTTCGTAAAACTGGTAGTTACAGATGAAGCGACCCGTTACACTGGTGTGAGTTGACTCACGCGTTAGGTAACATGTTCCACTTGTGTAACAAATTAGGTAACATTATTACTCTCGAGTGAGGTGGGTGACATATTAGTTAACACTTGTGTTAGATGATGACACATTAGGTGACAAATTTCACTCGTGTGACTCTGGGTGACACAGGTAACACTAACATGTTGCACTTGTGTGACACATTAGGTAACACTGACAAATTACGCTCGAGTGAGGCGGGTGACACATTAGCTGATAGTGACCATAACATTAAGATTAAAAGTGAGCTCCAAATTGGATTGTCAGAGCAATATTACCAACAGTTTCTAACTACATATCAGTCAACATTTACAGGTTGCTTAGAAACATTTTGTTCCTTAAAATGACTAAATCTTTGAAATTAAATAATGTAGAGAGTATACATTAGATTTAAAAAAACGGAATTCTGTGTTTTGAGGGGAATCCACAAAAGATAAAAAGTAGAAGTCAAAAGGCAGGCCAACAGCTCTATCACTGTAGAATCCCAGTTGGTGGCTATGCTAACATTCCAAAATCTGCAGTATGTGGCATGCTGGGTGATTATATTATCGGGGTTCCTCATGGTCCATCAGTAAAGCTACTGGTTTGTGCTGGCAATCAAAGTGTGGAAAGGTAGGTTACCTGAAGTAGATTCCCGAGGTCCAAGACCAAGCCTCCTGGTTGCTAACCTGAGAGGTCAGGCTGTTGGTGCCCCCCGAACAAGGATGGTATATAAAGAATAAACACTGAAAGAGGGAGGTTTAAAGGGAAAGAGATTTGTGAGGTGTAAGGGTGGAGAACAAGGATAATTTAGTAGAGTCTGGAGCAGGACATTTGTTGTAGTTTGTAGTGGGGAGCCACCTATTGTTGTTTACTCTCCACATCTCCACCCCCACCCCATAACACACCCATATACACTCTCACTTATATCTTTAACCCAATCACTATCCTCACACCCAAACAGCCATCCATATACCCGCCCACACCTAAAGTCCCAACCCACAGATTCATCCATAATTTCCGACCCCACACCCAGCGTCTTTATCCATACCCCCACTGACACCAACACGCACTCGTGGTCCCCAAAAAAACATTTAACCTTAAGTTCTTTTATTTTAAGGTAAGCTATGCTATATCACGTGGCAGCAAAGTTTACCTTCCGAGGTAGCCTGATATTAAAGTGTGTTCACAGCTATATTATATTTCCCTCTCTCCTCCGTCTTAATCCTCTCATGTTGCTGTAACAAACACTTCTGCCTTTTAAACTGGTGTTGCAGACTTTTAATACTCTCGATTACTGTGGCGAGGTATTAGCTTTGTTGACCAGGCAGTAAACAAAGAAATGTTTTAGTATATGGCCATATCTTTGTTTACACAGTACGTTGTACATGTTTTGTATTGCTGTTTCCCGAGTGATGGTATTCCCCAGGTGATAGTAACTCCAGCTGTACCGTGAGGAACCCTTTAATGTAATGCTTGGCAATATCCTCATTGCCTTACCGGTCTCCCAGCTCAGGCTGACAGATATCTAAGTACTGTGTATGAACCTCATCCTCTGTGACGGAATATGACAGGGAAACTGTCTAGTATGGGCCAGTAGGCCTGCAGCAGTGTTCCTTCATTCTTATTTTGTTTCCGGTGTGTAAATGTCATAATAGGGTATCGGCACACTGTTGATGTATCCAGCTTCCTAGTTTATCATAAAGTTTTATGTACACATTGCAATGTAATAGTGTATCTTCTAGTTCCTATCTGCATTCTTCTGCTTTCTTCGAATTTATATGCAACTTCCTTGTTTTGACAGCGTTTTTTAATTCCTAAATATCCCATACTCTATAGAGGGGACTTGAGCCGTTTCTCTCCTTCCTGGACCATTATCAAGTAGCAAATTGTGACTGTAATTGTCAAAGACTCGGCAAAACGTCTTTTAAAGTTTCCTCTAAAGTGTGAGTTAGCAAAACGTCTTTTAAAGTTTCCTCTAAAGTGTGAGTTAGCAAAACGTCTTTTTAAGTTTCCTCTAAAGTGTGAGTTATTTATGAATTGCTTTGGTCATGGTATTATTGTGTTTCAGTCCAGAATTATATTCAGCAGTGTATTTAATGTTAGTTTACTCCAAGACTTCAAGTTTATCTGTCTAGACTCCGGTGTGAGAGAAGGAATCCAAGAAAATTTGACTTCAGTCTCTATGGCAGTAATTTATGAGTTGATGTGCGCACTTAGTTGTGTTTGCAGGGGTCGAAACCAATCTCTTGCCTCAGCCTCTTGCAAGGTTCGACCCATAAAACCTGTCGAAGGTTCGTTCCAAGTGGACTCTGTTATGCCTACCGGATTGCTTCACGAGTATTCTCTATGGTATAGCTGTTATTGAATGAGTGAGGGGTGACACACACACAAAGGAGGATTTCAGAGACGCGAAGGATTTAGGAAAGGTAGGGAAAGTGTAAACTGTTTGAAGTGAAGCAAATCAGTAAGCAGTATTCAATTATACCTTCGCTATTTTGCCTCTAAGTACCGAGCCCATCTCTTGCCCTTAGTGGTGGTGCTTTCATCTCCCCCACGTCTACCCACCCTTAGATGGAAACTCTTTCGCCCTCCCCCAAATGTTACCCATGCCATAGGATTTCTTTCCTCCTTGCACGTCGCCCTACTCTCGGATGGAAACCCTTCTGACATCTTAATGCTCCTCCTGCCTGTCCAGCTTCTCCCCTCCTAGTGCTCCTTCCTGCTCTCCCAGTGTTCCCTGTTACCCTAGTGCTTTCTTCCTCCTACGTATCAGTATTCCTTCTTACCGTCCTGGCCCTCTCTCCTACATTCACAGTGCTCTCTCCTACCTTCCTAGTGTTCCCTCCCACCTCCTCATTCTTCCCCCCTGCTCACATGGATCCCTTTCCTTTTCCTAATGCCCCCTCCACCCTCTGTCTTTCACCCCTCTCCTCCACTCTTCATCCTCCACCCTCCATCCTCCACCTTCCACCCTCCACCTTCCACCTTCCACCTCCATCCTCCACCCTCCATTCTCCACCCTCCATTCTCTACCCTTCACCCTCCATCCTCCACCCTCTCTCAGCATCTCTGAAACTCCGACTTAGTTTTTGTGGCTCGCTCGGCCTTCCTTCCATCTTTCGCAGCTTCACAAGTTTTTTTTTTATTATTATTTTCTAGCCCGACCTTTTCCTTCCCGTATTCCTCTTCCTTCTATATTCCCGTTTTTATTATCTCCTTACTCATTGCTGCCGAAGTCCTCTTCCTCTTAAGATGGAGTCTCTCCTCTCCCTCAGTGCTTCTATCCCGTTCTCCCTTGTTCCCTCTCTCCATTTGTCTTTCTCTTTTTCTCTTATATGTGTGTGTTTCCCTTTCCACTTTTCCATTTCTTTCTCTTCCACTGTCTTCTTTCCTCTCTCCATCCTCACCACTGGGCTTCTTGTCTCTCTCAGTGAAATTCTCTCCCTCCCATCCCAAACAATTAATATACTGATTAGACGACTGTAGCATAATGCGATTTTTTATTAACAACGTTTCGCCCACACAGTGGACTTTATCAGGTCACAGACAGATCTATCTGGAAGAGAGGATGAATCTTAATAGGGAGAGAAGAACAAAAAAGTATAGTGTGACTTCAGAAAAGGTCAAAGTCGGACCGACGCGTCGTCGTAAACTCCTCTCTATGTGCGGGCTATTTATCTTAAGCATAATGAGGTGTCTGCGGCTTAATAAAACGTAGTGTATAGGCTAAACGCTGTTAATAGAGGACTGTCTAGAGTCTACCTACCTGGAGGGTGTTCCGGGGGTCAACGCCCCCCACGACCCGGTACTCGACAAGATTCCCGGTGGATCAGGGTTAAAGAATAAAAAGGGACAACGAAACAGGTTAAAATATGGAATGGCACAGGTTTGACAAGCATAAATCTTTGGAGGTAACAACAGGTTGCCCATCGTTGACGCGCACCAAGAGCACTTACGACGTTAGTGACCACAACATGAAGAAGTTACACTGGTGCGATGTAAATGATTTAGAAAGTCTTTTCTCAAGATTGTTGGACTGAACACATCAACTCCAGGCTGAGGGACTGATTACCTCAGTCTTCTCCCCATCTTCCACCGTTCTTTGTAAAGAAGCCACTGGCTGGCGTAACATTTCCATAATAACGATTCCCCAATGCTGTACAAGTGTCTTATTCTTCAAGTTGCACTGGACACAAAATGCCAAGCACTTTAGCACCACCCGTTGTAGCAGTACAGGGCAGCACCATTAGTGTTAAGTTTACCTCCTCTCCCCCCCCCCCTAAAAAAAAACAAATCAAAACATCCCACATAGCCCAACTACCTTGAGGCGCCACCTTAAAGGACTTAGCGTTCCCGGAAGGGGCTAGTGGACTCTTCCTCGCAAACAACTTTACGAGAAACACGTGTATGTACCATAGCGTCACGAGGCACGCTTTCCTCTCCTTGCTAGAATTCCTGATCAATTACACACGAGGCTAAACGAGAATTAACCTTTGATAAACCTTTGTTGAGTTTCGAGAGAGTACTTGTGAAGCCTGTTCATGGGCCAGGCTTGTCTGGTGCTAGCCTGGTCAATCAGGCTGTTGCTGCTAGAGGCCTACTGCCTCACATATCCATCACAGCCTGGTGGATCTGGCACCTGGTGATACTAGTCCAGTTTTCTCTTGAGGACTTCTACACTTGTTCCAGCAGTATTTTTGATGTCTTTTGGCAAGATGTTGAATAATTATAATTGGGGCCACTACCATCTTAAATCCTGAACGAAGCGTCGTTGTCAAGGATTCTGTTAAGTAAAAGGAAACACGCGCAAGAAATGCGACATTTTATTGTGGTAACGTCGGTAATTCTATCACCATTATTACTTAAAGGTTTCTTTTCAAGTACAGTGTTTTTCTAACCATCCTCGCTTCTCTACAGAGTTACGTCTCTCGTACGTTACTTCTGTAGTACTTCTATTCAGGAACTTGGAATTTGTGTACTCGTGTATTATCGCTTAGTACTCGTTTTGCAATTCCATCTCATCAACATCGTTCGGGAATTTGAAATTTCTGTACTCGTGTAATCCCATCTCATCAACATTGTTTATCTTGTTAATGCAAGAATAGAACGCACTGCTGTTAAAATTTTACTTTTCACACACATTGTGTGTGACAGATTCAAATGGAAAACCTTGAATTCTGAACGTGCGTTATTCATGGTGCGAGAATTGGCTACAAATTCTCACCTTGTATCTTCTCAGACACCTTGCATCTCCAGTTCTC